GTCTCTGGGGAGCTGGAAGATGAGAACTGGCGACTTTCTAGTACAACTTCAGTACGCGGAGCAATCTGTGGAGCTGGAAGCTGAGAACTGGCGACTTTGTAGTGCAACTTTAGTACGCCGAGTATCTGGGGAGCTGGAAGCTGAGAACTGGCGACTTTGTAGTACAACTTTAGTACGCGGAGTATCTGGAGAGCTGGAAGATGAGAACTGGCGACTTCCTAGTACAACTTGAGCACGCGGAGTCTCTGGGGAGCTGGAAGATGAGAACTGGCGACTTTCTAGTACAACTTTAGTACGCGGAGCAATCTGTGGAGCTGGAAGCTGAGAACTGGCGACTTTGTAGTACAACTTTAGTACGCGGAGTATCTGTGGAGCTGGAAGCTGAGAACTGGCGACTTTGTAGTACAACTTTAGTGCGCGGAGTAGCTGGAGAGCTGGAAGATGAGAACTGGCGACTTTGTAGTACAACTTTAGTACGCGGATGAGTCATCTCTCGCGGCTGAGTCATCTCTCGCGGCTGCTTTGGCGCGCCTGCAGCTGAGTCATGTCTCCCGACCAGCCGGCTCTCTTGAGAGGTTGACGCACACACAGAGACCCACGCACTGCCTCAACTTACTCGGACACACACACAGACAGAGACGCATACACACACAGACATAGATACACACTTATGGATATGCGTACTGAGTTGACAGCGGTGCCACACGCCGGCCTAGGGTACCATTTCCTAAGGGTACAAGTAAGAACCACGGATCCTGGAGGTCTTCAAAAGGAAAGGTGGCCCGAAGCGCAAGCCGACAACGGAGCGACAGGGTGACGTCGTAGCGTGCAAGTCTGCGGAGCTCACTAGCACTTTACAAGAAGGAAGAAGGGTGGCCACCAGCTGCATCTTATAATGCGCCCAGGTGCACCAAGCAGGTACGTTTTCACGACAGCTTGGATGGGTCTTCGTTGGCCCATGCCATCCAAGTGTCCATGGGCCCCCTGCTAAAAAGAAACAACAATTCAACGGAATCCCTGTGATTACAAGGGGTACACACACGCGCCTCCCCAAGGGGAGGCATCTCTGCCCTAGAGCGTCCTTGCGCCTAGTAGTAAGGCCAGGAACCCCTAGAAGCAACAAAGTAGCGTCCCAGTAGTAAGGCCAGGAGCCCCTAGTAGCAACCCACTCTAAGGTCCCGACGGGAGGGAGGGGTAGGGAGAGAAGAGAAAAGAAAGAGAAGAAAGGAAAGGGGAAGAAGGTGTTCCCAGCTACGACACAAGCGTCCAAGGACACACCAAAGGAAGAGAGGAAAAGGGTTCCCAGCTATGACAAAAGCATCCAGGGAAATCCAAGGAGGAAGAAGGTGAAGAGAGGAAAGAAAGAAAGAAAGAAAGAGAGAGGGAGAGAAAGGGAGAGGAGAGAAAAGAAAAAGGCAGGTGTTCCCAGCTACGAACAGTCGTCCAGGGACACACCAAAGAAAGAAAGGGGTGATCCTGAGTATTCCATTCAGGAAAACTACAAAAAGCAAAGAAAGAAAGGGGAGAGGGGAGGGGAAGGGGGGGACTAAGCTCGCGACAGGTTCCAATGAACCTTGAACAAACTTCGGTCGCTGCGACCGCGTACGGCTTGCCCAACGGCTGCCACCTCTGACCGCTGCGGTCACGTAGAGGCATGAGCCAACTTGGAATTCCAAAAATGAGACAGACGTCCCACTTCTTGTGGCGTAAGCCATCTGCTGTCCGCTCCGGACACTTACATCTCCGGGCAGGGGAGATAACGACAAACCCCCGTTCGACGGGTCCACGGGAGGCACTCTACGGGCTCACCCCGGACTCTCACTGGGAGAGACACACTTATGGATATGCGTACCGACTTGACAGCGGTGCCACACGCCGGCCCAGGGTACCATTTCCTAAGGGTACAAGTAAGAACCACGGATCCTGGAGGTCTTCAAAAAGGAAAGGTGGCCCAAAGCGCAAGCCGACGACGGAGCGACAGGGTGACGTCGTAGCGCAAGTCTGCGGAGCTCACTAGCACTTTACAAAAAGGAAGAAGGGTGGCCACCAGCTGCGTCTTATAATGCGCCCAGGTGCACCAAGCAGGTTCGTTTTCACGACAGCTTGGATGGGTCTTCGTTGGCCCATGCCATCCAAGTGTCCATGGGCCCCCTGCTAAAAAGAAAAAACAATTCAACACAAGGGGTACACACACAGAGACCCACGCACTGCCTCAACTTACTCGAACACGCGCACACACATACACAGACTCATATACACACGGACATAGATACACACACACAGAGACCCTCACACTACCTCAACTCACTCGACTTAAACACTTCACACTGAACACTTAACAGGTAACTCACACTCTGATTTCCTACGTGATGAAAAATGCTTTCGGGCCACTCGTCGTCTAGTTCCAGTTTTTTCCTTTTCAACCAGCCATCAATCCAGTATTCCTTTCTACACGTTGGACACTTTGGTTGAAGTTTCACATTGAAGGCGTTTTTTTGCGTCGGCCTCATGTCTGACAATCTGACAGGCAGATGAACTCAGGGTGTCTCATGGGTCTTTCCACTCGCCGGTTGCCCAGACGTTTGCATAGGGTTCCTTGTGACCTCCTTAGTTGGTCTAGTTTTTGGGAAGTTTGTGTTTGGCCTAGTTTTACAATTTGGACGAACACAGGCAAAACTAATACATGCGGGCCCAGCATAACGGAATCATTGGATTCAAGTGCTGCTGGACATACTGCCCGCCTGTTGTGGAAAAAACACGTACGCTCTCTCGCACGGGCAGAAAACATGCAATTGAACGCTCGCATTTCAAACGCGCCGCAACGGCCGAAGCAGCTAGCCAGGGGCCCCCGAAGCAATTTTTGCTGTGTTTATAGCGCAGGGCAGCTCCTGCCTTTTGCCAGCATCCACGCTCTCAAGATAGACGATTACAGTCTAATGCTTGATCGTGAGACTCATTCTCATGTTCGACTTGGTGACTTGGTGTTTATCCAGCGACCAGTTTTAAGGTCAGATCAGCCAGTGGAAGAGGAAAAACGAGATGAAAAGCCAAAGCAGTCTTGCTTGGACAGGCGCAAAGCAAACGGCGTAAAGGAACGACTGCACAAAATACTTGTTTCTTCATGGATTCAGAGACTGCCCAGGCTGACCAAGGCAGCTATTGATCTTCGGGAAAGAGTCAAGCCACTTTGGTTCAAGAGGCTGCTGCGATTCTTTTGGTGCAGACCTGTGCCTGGCTGCGCATGTTTTCAAACCTTTTCGGAGCTCCCGGATAGCAAATCATTTTAATCAGGCTGGGTGTTTTTTTTATGCTAATGGTTTTTTTCTTATGCTCACAGCGGGGTTGGTGTGCTTTTGGGGTATGGGTTTCTTTTTTAATGCTTATAGTGCTTTTTTTTTTATGCTAATGGTTTTTTCTGTTATGCTTGCAGTTCTTTCTTTTATGCTCCTGGTTTCTTTTTTTATGCTAATGGTTTCTTTTTTTATGCTAAGGGTTCTTTTTTTTATGCGGCGCTGTGGGAAGAGGTCACGTTGGGGGGTCCTAGTGCAGAATGTAATTGTCAGGAGGGTTTAGTGCAGAATGTAATTGTCGGGAGGCTTTAGTACAGAATGTAATTGTCGGGAGGTTTTAGTACAGAAAGTAATTTTCGAGAGGTTTTAGTACAGCAAGTAATTGTCGGGAGGTTTGAGTACAGAAAGTAATTGTCGGGAGGTTTGAGTACAGAAAGTAATTGTCGGGAGGTTTTAGTACAAAACGTAATTGTCGGGGGGCTTTAGTACCGAATGTAATCGTCGGGGAGTTTTAGTACAGAATTAAATGTCGGGGGCCTTTAGTATCGAATGTAAGCGTCGGGGTGTTACCGAATGGACAATTATTCATGAACGAACTGTTCAGTGAAAGGTGATGCATTCGTCAGCAGAAACCGAAAAGTGATGAGTTCCAGTATCAACTGATATCAATCGTTTAAATGAACGGTAGAAATGTGGCCAAATGGGCTCCAGTCAGAAATCAGGGTCGCTTCGCGCGGCCCACCCGGCCCGGCCCCTTTTTCATGCGGGATTGATGATCATTAATGCTGGACCTGAACAAAGCTGGCAAAGTCAGCTGTGGACAGTGGTTGTAGCATGATCAAGTTCTAACCTCTTGGCAATCGCGCCCGGTTCACAAAAGATTCGCATCCTGTCCTTGCTGTACGGTGCTGCTTGGCCTGAAACTCCTGGGAAGCTGGAAGGAGAGGTGCAGTCTCATGAATGCAATCGTCGGGGAGTTCTAGTAATCGTTTGGCTCCAGACTTTTTCTGCCCAATATTGCACTGCGTGGCATAAAAAGAAGGTATGCTCGCCGTTGCTCGCGCACTTACATCGTGAGAGGGTCTTCCAAGTTGACTGACCCTTTGGTGAGCCACCCGAGGGTAAAATTTAGAGAAGGATGAAGGATGTTGCTCTTCCAAGTTGACTCACCCTTTGGTGAGCCACCCGAGGGTAAAATTTAGAGAAGGATGTTGCCATTTCAACTTGACTCACCCTTTTGTGGGCAAGGCAGGG